TTATATCCTGCGAATGGTTGCTAGCATCAACCATCAGTCATGCCTGGTTCCATATTGAATTATGGCCCAATTTGTCATTTTGACTGCTAAAAGTTTCAATGGTGGAAAGCCAATTCAGTGCTGAGCCCACCTGCTAGTTCGCCTACAGCCTTCATAGAGAGTTAAACCGTCAACTGACAGTGGGCAATTAACCAAATGTTTTCATTACACCTCCAAGCAATGTCACAGACAAAATAAATCTTTATTCTGTACCTCGCTGCTGTCCCTGTCTGAGCTTTTCATGAATACTGTATGTGGTTCTCAGCTGGTGGTTCTCTTTTCTAATAGTGTGGCGAACAGCAGGGAGAAACAATGCTAAATGCTAATAACCAAATGCAAATAAACATAATTAGGACAGAGCCTGAAAGTTTTTAAAAGAAAGGAGAAAAGTCCTCTTATAACTTTTGTTGTTTGCATCAAAGGTTGTGCATCCAATCAAGCTGTACGATATTTATTATATACTGTATTAAATTATATACTGCTTTGTCTAAATAAATGTGGAAAAAAGTGAATTTAGGTATCACAACATTATAACGCACAGTATGAACATTTTTCATTTTGGTATTCATTTTGAATTGAATATAATTGGACATTGGTATTTATTTTGTTTTAAAAAATGAACTTTAAGCATTAGTTGATGGAAAATCTAAATGTAAAAATACAGCAACTGAGCATGCACAATTACATATACAACATTTGCTTACATATATAATATCATCCAAAATCATTATATATATGGTGCATCACTTAATTACATTAAGTCTGTGCCATTTATGGTAATACATCTTTATTAATAACATTTAAAAAAAATTGTATTATTAAAATAATTTATAAATTAATAAATTGTTAATTTTTTTTTACTTAAATTAACAAATTGTTTATTTTTGTACAATAAATGATACAGTGTTGGATTGCCTCTTGGACTGAAAGCCCTTTTTGTTTTTCTTCCTGTGTTTGGTTGGATTTTTCTGTGCATTATCTATCAAGTTTGCTATCTGGATCAGTCTGTGATCGCATATTAACGTTTTCTGTCACAGCTTGAAAAAGTGATGTGTTTTAACCTGCTGGCAGGATAGACGTCTATATCTTGCTCCCTCCGTCATACACTCCATCTGTACTTTTATCTCCTGCTTTGTATCATTCTCGCACATACTGTGTCAAGCTTTATCTTTCTGTCTCTTCCCCTCAATACCTGTCTGATGGGCATAGCATTCGATCCCGCCACAGAAATCTGTCGGCTTTGAGAAAGCCGATGGCCAATCTCATTACCGTGGCAACATGGCAAGGCAACACTAGCTCTGTCTGCCTCATTCAAACAGGAAAGGTGGGAGAGAGGACATGGAATGAAATGAGAGACCACGAGTAATGGGATCAACTTATCAACTTCCACACCTGTCCCAGTGTAGCCCTCAAAGCACAGCTCATTAGATCCCAGTGGCCCTTTTTCTTGCTCTGGGCCGAGATATTACGCTGAACCCTAAGTGAACTGAGAGAACCATGCTTTCCCCAGACAGCTTAAGACAGAGCTTGTAATATGACCATGGCATACTGTGCCACAAATTGTTTGGATATTGAATGACCCCTGTGGGCCCCCCGGTGCAGCTGCGTGACAGGGCTCACAACATGCATTAAGGATGCATTGGCTTGGAGGGTGTTTACGAAAAAGAAACAGTTCAATAAGACATTTCGAAACCAGAGCTATGAAATACATTATATATATACAGTGGGTACGGAAAGTATTCAGACCCCCTTAAATTTTTCACTCTTTGTTATATTGCAGCCATTTGCTAAAATCATTTAAGTTAATTTTTTTTCCTCATTAATGTACACACAGCACCCCATATTGACAGAAAAACACAGAATTGTTGACATTTTTGCAGATTTATTAAAAAAGAAAAACTGAAATATCACATGGTCCTAAGTATTCAGACCCTTTGCTCAGTATTTAGTAGAAGCACCCTTTTGATCTAATACAGCCATGAGTCTTTTTGGGAAAGATGCAACAAGTTTTTCACACCTGGATTTGGGGATCCTCTGCCATTTCTCCTTGCAGATCCTCTCCAGTTCTGTCAGGTTGGATGGTAAACATTGGTGGAACGTTGGACTCTGGTCGATTCTGTTTTAAGGTAAGGAATGTTATTTGCAATTATGTGTTGTGGCTGGGTTGTTATAGGTCTGCGTGACTCTCGCTGTCTTGGGTCTAACTGAACGGAGGAATTATGGTATTCTTCTGTAGCCTGACGACGAGTAACTTTACGTTAACCGTTGTTCATGTGAACTCAAAGACAGCCTGATGCTTTGTATATAGACTATTTGGGTGGCTGTTTGTTGTTTCACCTATCAATTTGTGTCGATAAAGTATAATAGGGTAAATCCTGTATAGTGATTTATCCTATGTAGTGCTTGCATAAAGCAAGTAGTGCATACATTTGTAGCTGTTATGTATCATTGTAAGCCCTCTTTTGAGGCACACCCCCCCCCATAAAAAAAAGCACGTGGGCTCCCATTTTGACCACTCAAGATGATACACTGAGTTCTGTTTGTGCTTATTTTATTATCACTTAACACTTTTTATTATCAGAAACTTTTCAAAATGCATCTCAATCAGTGTTTCACCCACTGTAACAAATCACAAAATTAAAAGTAAGGCTTCATTTTGGCATATTTGTATGTAGTTACTGAACTTGGATTGGTGTGAAATGTTTTCAAAATCAAGTCACTCCATTAATGTGCTTTCATGTTCTATCATGGCTGTCATTTCCAAGTACTTGTACCCAACGGTGTTTACCCAGAATATTTATGAAGCTTTTTTGTTGCTAAAGAAGAGCAAGTGTCTTTCATTATAGCCTTTAAGCACCAAAGAGGCTCTTTTTGTAGCCCGTGTCCCGTTATTGCTGTCCTCCTGTGGTGAGATGCTCAGCAACTCTGTTCTGTCAGTAGCCTCAGGGGGCTTTACAGCCTCGTCTCTCCTCACTATCTATCCCACTACAGAAAGACATATTGAGAGGGGAAAGGAAAGCGATAGAACACATATAAATCCGTCTTTTCCTTCCTCCAGTCAGGAGAGAGGGATTACAAATCCCTTAATTTATTTCTTCTCCAGCTTAGACAGCTGATGTAGGGATGGTAGGGTGTGAGAGAGGGAGGGAGAGAGCGCCCTGCTTGCACAGATATGCAGTATTCTTAACTGTGACTTTGACGATCCCACTGAGGGATTGATTGACAGCCAGTCAATAGGGGAGTGACGCGTCTGCCCTGACCAACAATATCTATGCAAGACGGTGAGAAAGATGGTAAATATAAAACAAAATGATTTAAGGGAAGCAATTGGAAAAAATCCTAAAAATGTACATTTTTATATGAAGCTAATTCAAACTATGAAATAACCCTAAAATAACTTTTTTAAAGGGGTCATATGATGTTGCTAAAAAGAACATTATTTTGTGTATTTGGTGTAATGAAATGTGTTTATGCGGTTTAAGGTTAAAAAAACACATTATTTTCGACATACTGTAAATTATTGTTTCTCCTTTATGCCCCACCTTTCTGAAACGCGTCAATTTTTACAAAGCTCATCGGTCTGAAAAGCGAGGTGTGCTCTGATTGGCCAGCTATCCAGTGCGTTGTGATTGACCGAATACCTCAAGTGTGTGACGGAAATGTTACACCCCTACCATACTGTGATGCCCTGTCAGGCCGGAGCGACGAGACAAAAACATTAAAACCCATTGTAAACGAGGCATTTGTTGCATCCAGTGGGGACATAATTACGGATTATAATGACTTATACTGTCTTTTTACGCGTTGC